CAGTTGGGACACTGTGAAGTAATGTGTTGCTTTGCTGATGCCACCTGTTTTAGTGTTGTCCTCACGTTTTCAAAATACATTCTGTTTAAAAGTTCATCAGGAACAGTACATGTTAAGGCATTGATTTCTGAAGGCTCTGGATCGCATCTAAACTGCAGCTTTTTGTGTYTGTTGCTCTTCTTTTTAGAGTCCACTCTTTGATGGATCAAGTTTATCTTAGTGGTGCAGAAAGACTGCAGGGCATTCAGTTCCTCGTCGGACAGTCCATTGATTTCTGTTTGAAGTTTAGTCTCTGGTTGGTTTTGTTCATAGTTAGTTTTTTTGTCCTGGAGATAGTGGATCCATTTTTGAGTCAACTTCTTTTCGTTATTTTTGAAATCAGAAAGCTCTGATTGCTTGGTTTGTTCTTGCAAGCTTGCAGCCAGTTTTCCATCATCCGATTCTGTCCCAGAGGAGCTGGGCCAGGACTGCTGTCCTCCAGAGGGACTGAGAGAATCAGAACTCTCTACCTCATCAGTAAAGGACCCGGCCATTTCATCAGACAGGTGAGCCATAGCACTTACGTCGGTTTGAACCAATTCTCGTTGATCTTTTTAAATCCCCAGACTTCCGGGCAGATGGATATCACATTGCTTCAGAATCGGTTTCTCATCTGCTTTGCTTTCGTCAGGATCATCCTAGGAACTAATGAAGGAAGAGCCCACCGGCCCTAGCCTCGGCGACAACAGCTCAGAGGCCCTAACTTCCGGGTGACGCCTTTCCCCGCTGCCTTGGCAACGTGCGCTGGTCATGCGCAGTGAGTGGCCGCGTCCTAGGCTCCACCTCCGCTCGAGCGGTGCTGCGAGGGCTGGGGTCTCCCACTTAAGTGCGGGCTCTTGGCTTCTCCTCCGTAGTGTTTTAACTACAGAATCTAAGAGTCGTGGGAGAAGGTTGCCAGTTTCATTGCTTCGGGCCGGGGAGTGAGTGACGTCACACTGGTTACACCTTTGTAGTCTTAACAAAGACAGGGACAAATCCTAAATGAACAGATTTTAAAAACAAAAAGTGCTGCCTGAAATGCCCAAGCGAAAACCTGTCTGTTTTATATGATTACCTATTTATAGAGGATGTTTATTATATAAATACTGAAACCATTTTGTGCGACCTCTTGCACGACTTTCTGTGCTTCAGCATTCTGGTACCTGGAGGTTTTCCCAGATCAGTTTCTCAGGGTTTTTGTGCAGGCAGGTTCCCCTCTGCCACGTCAATACTCTTTATATGACCAATTACTCCTCCTTCAAGTGGCATTTCCGCAGGGAGGGCTTCATGCCCACCCCTGCCCCAAACACTTTACAGACTTATAGTTTTATAGTTTCCAGTTTGTGTTTGTGTGATTTTTTTTTTTTTTTTTTTTTTTTTTTGGATAAGGCCGAAACCGTGTCAGTGTTGCAGGCTGGTCTAATGACCAGCAATCAGCAGAGGTATTGTAGCCATTCAGTAGATCTCTGCGAAATGAATGAGTTGACTGATGTGGAAAAAATAAACACTACCTTGCTCGGGTCCAGTGGAGTAAGAACTAACAGCTCAAGAAAATCTAATTTTTTTTTTCTTCCCTGAAACTTCAAATTTATTTTTTTTCCCATGACATATCTTTTTTTAAAACAACAACAAACAAAAAAAGGTAGTTTTGTTAACAATTTTCAGGAATTATAAAATGCTAACTCTGGAGATGGACTTTTCCTATGTCTTAATAAATACCTAGTCTAAGTATCTGGAATAAACTTTTTGTCTCTCTCTCTCTCCTTCTCTCCCTCCCCTGGGGGCGTGGTGGGGGGATTCACTTTGACCCAGATATATTTAACATTTCCCAAATAACTAACTTTGTCAAATGTGGGATATTTAAAAAGCGGCTCTCAAATCTGAGCCAACTTCATACTAAAGTTAAGGGAGATTCCAACTTCTTTTATTCAACTCAAATTCTATTTTATCACATAGTTAGACTTTAAAAAGAAGGTGCAAGTGGTTGTGGTAGTATATGTCTAATACCAGCAGCTTCGCAAGCTGGGAGGATTGCAAGTTGAAGGCCAGCCTCAGCAATTTAGTGAGGCCCTGTCTCAAAAAATAAAAGGAGCTGGGAATGTGACTCAGTGGTAAAGCACCCCTGGGTTAAAACTCTATTACAAAAAAAAAAAAAATGTGCAGATAATTGTGAGTAGTTCAAGTGAAATCCATCAAGACTCAAGTTTTTCTTTTATCATTTTGACTTCAAAAACTCCCCCTCATTCTCTGAATATTTTACATATTCATATTTACACAGAATTAATTAGAATCATTTTCTTCATATAACATCAACTATATTTCAAATATGGTATATTTCTATCTTTTCATATCCTAAAATTATGGAGTAATCTCCCTTTTTAAAAACTGGTGTTGTAAATTTCTCTTTATATCTAAAAAGTAACTTTATCCCAGGAGCCAATAAATTTGGGTGGTAAATTATACAATTAATCAATTTCTTTAAAAGTAGCAAGACCCAGTAGACAGTTTAAGAACTCTAATGACTGTGTTATCTAAGGAAGAAAAATAGCTCAACAGTGTGCTATCATTATCCAATAATATTCATGAAGATAGAGGTCAAAGTGGATATTAAACATAGAAATGATTACTCTTTATATAAATCATATAGTATTAACTTTTCAACTCTGTCTCTGAGCAAAGTTTAAAAGGTGATGCTACTAAATTCCACAACTCTTGTTACTTCTTTTTATCTATGAAATTAAGATGATATCCACCTACTGTCTTTTTTGTAAGTAAAAATTGTCAGTGATGTGTATGTGAAAAACTCAGACCATTTTGCTGTACTGACAAAAAATATATATTCTATATTCCTTAGAGATTGTTAAAAGAACTATGAACAAGCATGATACATTAATTTTTAAATTAATTTTTTGGTTCTTTCAAGTGAGAGTTGAAAATAGAAAAGCATTAAGGGGAAAGGAGGTAGAATTACTACTTCCTATCTTATCTCAAAATCTTTTTATTCAAAACTGATACAAATCACTCCCACTCACTGTACTAAAGGCAGATCTTATCAAGATTCACAGGAAAAAAAATGCAATATAATATTTTCAACATTTTATTGCTTCTTTTAGAAAAAGAAAAATCAATGAGTTAACAGAAGAAATATTTATATCCTCAGAAAATTCAATAGCAATATTTCAGTGTCCCAATAACTTTGTTACAGAATTATTTATTTTTGGATTAGTAAATATCTATGAACTTTGAAATAGTTTCTGCAAAATTATGCAAACAAAACTTAAATGTGCAAAGAATATGCTGCGTTTTTTCTTATTAATGTAATTTTCCTTACAAGTTCTCATCCACTTGGATAACCAGGTATGTTAAGAATTCACCTGGTAATTAATATCACAGACATTCCCCATGTAAGTCAGTCTTATTGTGGCAAGTGCCCAGTCAATGATAAATTAAACTAACACAATTTTTTCCTTCCCTCTTCTCCTCCCCAAGATGGTGCATGAGAGGAAAATCTTATTATATTAGGCTTCTCTTATATGCATGGGGTCCTTTACATTTGTCTTTCATTCATACCATTATGATTCTTAGAGTTGACTATTACTTTGAAGATTGATTGTTAGTTTTCTGAAAATATAAATAAAAAAAAACTTCTGTCCTCCTTTCTTTAAAAAATATGTTTAACATATTCTACACATTACTCTGTTTTATCTTAAAAATATATTTTGGATGTCACATGACATCAACATGTATATATCTTTCTCATTTCTCTCTAAAACTGGATAATATTCCTTTATAGGAATTTGTCACAGTTGATTTGCTTGTTTTGATTGGCATTTTGCCATCATAAAAAATCAAATTTTCCTTTATGTCTTTGGAAGTACAGKTTCAAGATGATTCCTAAGTCTGARATTACAAGATCAAAGTATTAAAGGCATATATAGTTTTCTATGTATTGCTAAATTCTTCTAAGGGGTGCACCTATTCCCAACAGCTTGATCCACAGGATATATAATCAAATTTATGGATTTCTKCCCCCATCTAATGGGTGGAAAATAGCTTAATAGAATTTGAAACTGAAAAACCACAGGGGGAAAAATCATTGAAAAAAATATGGGAGTCATAGATCATGATCTGAATTTTGATCTCTTGATCTCGTGATCAAACACGATTTCTTTTTCTCTTCATGTAGACTGCTTATTCATTTCTTTTGTTCAGTTTTCCATAGGATTTTTGCATTTCTTGTCAATTCGTTTAAAGCACTTCATATATTGAAAATATCATTTGTTTTTCTGTAACATAATTTTGAAATGCTATTTCATCTTTTTTTTTCTATTTGGTCTACACTACTATTTTTTTGCCATGCAAAAGTTTGATTTTTTTTTCATTTTTTTCAAATGTATCAATCTTTCTTCTAATTGTTCTTGGATTATTTGTAGTAACTTTTCATTTTATTTTATTTTATATTTTCTAAGACATTCTCCTATTGAAATTGACTTGTTTCTCTTGGTGTACAGTTTTATGAAATTTGGCTCATGTAACCATGTGAAAGTTGTGTAAACACCATCAAATCAGTATATAGCATGCCCTGTTTTATCTCCTTTGCAGGCACACCCAACTTACCTATGTCTCCCATATTTTTTTTTCAATGATTTTTCCCCCTGTGGTTTTTCAGATATACAATCATGTTATCTGTAGTTAAGAAAACCACTCCTTTATAATTCCTAAACATTTTTGGCTTGTTTTGGGACTTGGATCCAGGACCTGAAGCATGCTCAGTTAAGCAATACAACGGAGTTACACCCGTTGTATCTCTAATTGCTTCATCTTATTTATTTTTTCAGGAAATACCCCCAACACAATATAAACTAATAGTGAAGTTAATAACCTTAACCATTTTTAAAAATGGATATTTTTCTTTGTCTCAATTTGCCAAACATATAAAAAATTTCTCATACTTCAGAAATGTTTTGAACTTACAAAAACAAGAGATCAAAATTATCTGCATTATATAAAATTGTCCGATAAGAAGGTATTATTGCAAAACTCTGTGGATGGGTAGAAAAGTAAATAAGTAGCTAGAATATTGAAGAAATTCACAAGTAAACAAAGAAAAAGCTCTCCAGTTAAAAATATTAAATAGGGGCCAGGGTTGTGGCTCAGTGGGCAGAGCACTTGCCTAGCATGCATGAGGCACTGAGTTTGATCCCCAGCACCATATAAAAATAGACAAATAAAATAAAGCTATTGTGTCCATCTACAACTAAAAAAATTAAAAATATATATTAAATAAAGCTTCCACCTATGTTCTTTAAACATTTCCAGAGTATCATTCATTTTACCCAGGTTCTCCTTCTTATTTTATATATTTAATATATTTATTTATTTGTACTGGGGATAGAACCCAGGGGTGCTTAACCACTGAGGCATGTTCTCAGCCCTTTTTATTTCTAATTTTGAGATAGGGCTCTACTAAGTTGCTGAGGCTGGTCTCAAACTTGCGATCCTCCTGCCTCGCTTCCCAAATTGCTGGAATAATGGGCGTGAGCCACCATGCCCAGCTCAG